ACAAAACACTCAGTGACATTTTATTTGTATCCTTCTTAAAGTTTCTGCTTCTATTTAGTCTGCCTCTGAATATTAAATTCCTGCTGTAGGCTGAATCTGGGCTAAGCTGATGCACAGTAATTGCAAGTTAAGCTTCAGTTTAAAGACTGAGTCAATAATGAATCAGAGAGACTCAATAAAAGGAAATATAAGCAGCCAGGATCAGACTACAAAGTTTTGGGAGGTCTAAGTGATACCACAGCATTTGGGAATTTCAGAATTTCTATTTGCCACATGTAAAGGGCTGGTTACAAGCTCCACGCGGAGTGGGATGTTCTGGGAGCTATTTGTGTTTCATAAATCAGGTTTTGTGGTATTTCATTGAAATTTTGAGTATGTCTGCTCCACTTGGCTGTCAGTTCTAAAACCCAATTTGCATTTCAACTCAATCGTGCAAACACCAGCAACAGGCCATAGAGTTTACCATTACAGCCAGTCCCCTTCCAGCTTCGTCTCACCTATACCTAAATGCACAGAAGTTATCATTATAGAATTTATGTTATCATTTAAAAATTAATTTTAATAAGTCCACATTTTGAACTGTTTTCCACTTGTTTGACACAGGGTTGGATTTTTCATTTTTTAATATGCTGCCAATTTTTATACAAGCAATTTATACATGCCACAGAGGAAAGAACAGAGACTTCTGACAACTGCGTATGCTTCTAAATCTGCTTTAGCGTATTGGGGTATAGCAAAATCCTAACACAAATTCCATGAAAAAGTATGCAAAAATAAAAAAAAAAAAGGAGGTATCCACATGTGCAGCAGTGGACATTACCAAATACACTGTAGAAACGCAGGGCAGGAATCAACTTCAGGACACTTGCAAAATATTTGGTTTATAACTTGACCACAATGGTACTGTTTGCTAACAACTGCAGAGGTAGAATTGTAGGAGCATTACTGAAGCCAAGAGCCTCTCTACAGCACCAGCCAGAGTGAATATAGACCCGCAGCAATAAAACCCTCTTTCCTAGGCAACAGGGTCAAAGATAATACAGCTATTTAGCAAACTTAGAAGGAAAGAAAAGAAGGGCCATGAAAGGAAATGGAGTTTGAATTAAAATATCTAGCATGCTTTTGTTGGTGTTAAAGCTTTCTAGACTAAAAGTACAAAATGGAGGAGAAACTAAAGGAAGAAGCACTGTAAAGACACATTAAGATAAAAAGCAATTAACAGAATAAATTAAATGCAGTCCTATAGCTGAACAAGTTTACATGGTTGTTGAAAAATATTAAGAAGGAGCGATTCCCTTGGAATTGAGTGGATGCCTGTTGCACAGCAGGAAATCCCCCCAGCGACAGGCAGGCCCGAGGTGTAAACCCAGAGCAGCTGCTGTGAATGATTAGCACTGTCAGCTAATTCGAGGCATAATGAGAGATCTTAAAATAATAAGAGAAAAAAACTGCATGGGGGAGAGGAACTTTCCTGGATTAAGGTTCATTAAGTACAGAACAGGAGTGGAAATTTCCAATTGCTGCAAGTGTTGTTAAAACTGGAATAACGCCCTAGAAGAGCAATTCATATATGCAACTCGTGTGGGTAATCCAACCTATTATATCCTCCATCCAATCCCAAACTCAGGCACATACTTTGATGAACGCACCACATTCAAGACTAAGAGAAGTCTGGCTGTATTACTTCAATGCTGGAAACCAGAGATGACCAAAGTATAGCTGGGGTGGGATTAAAGGAACAGCTCTGAAGTTTACCATGGCAGCTACAAGAGCTACAAATAATTACTGTCGGGAATTAGAGGAGAATTATTTGACTTGCTGCTAAATTGTCTCAATTTAAGTTTTTAAACTGACACTTTCCCCATGACATACAAACCTTCGTAAGATGTGCAACACTCAGTTACAAATGGTAAGGAGAAAGCAAGGTGGGAACTTGTTCTCAAAAATTTGACCTTTCTCCCATTTTCACAATTAAATCCTGGGGTCTCTGCCTTCCTCACTTCAAATGAATCTGCCCCTACTTATGACTAAAATTAATCTTTATAAACCCATGGCTTCAGGCTCATCTCAAATTGCAGCATGCTAGCAAAGCTATTATTCATCAAGGATGCCACATTTTGAAGGGTTCCATGTCAAAGCTGGGTGAATATGTTTTTCAGTAGGCCGTCACATTCCTGTTTTCCTAGCCTGCAGAGTGACCCTTCCTAATTGAAAGGATCTTTATTCATGGAGGAGTATGTGACACAAACCAACCCAACATGTTACTGGAGCTTTCCAGTAATGACAGCAGGATAAAGGAAGCCTTTGAAGTTCATTGGGGAGAGGAAGAGGTGTTAATTTAAAAAGCTTGTCAGTATACCCAAGAGCAGAAGGAGAACAAAGTACCAATTAATAATTCACACTTCTATTCCATATGTTATCATAGTATCTCAAAACAGTTTGCAAACATTGTTTAAGTCTCACAACATCCCCCTGAAGCAGACAAGCATGGATGAAGCTCCACTCCTACCGGCCAGAACGTCGCTTTGGGTGCATTTCATTTAGCTGATCTATGCCCCCTCCTCCCCATCTGTTAAATGGCGATAATGACTCTATCATACAGCAGCTCAAAAGCTTACTGATTTCTAAATCAACACATTTTTAGATAGAAAAATAGCACACAAGGGCAATCTCGTATGTCAGACTACACTCAATTACACTGCACTAAAGCTACCACATGTGACATGATAACATAGCTAGTGGGAAGAAAACCTTGATTTTATAATACTCTACAGATTTGCTTTGCTCTGTCCCTAAGTACCCAGAGCACTTGAGTTCTAGTTAATAAGCAGAATTCTTGGGTACTGTGTTAACACGAAACTCATTGTAATTACAGTAATTAGATCTGCTGTAGAAAGAATTGTGAGAAATGAAAGACTATCCACAGTAGCCTCTAATTCTCAATTAACACAAAGTAGTTGGTGTGTTTGGAAGCCAGGACACACATACCCATAGCTGCAAACTCCAGGGGGAATAGTCATTTACATTCAGATGGGAAGTTGAGCACATTATACTGTTTAATCCTTGCTTTGAAAGACAGGTACATGAGCATTGCCCACTTACAGATGGCAAAAAGGCAATTTAAGAAGGCTCTGAGCTGCCAAAGAGCAAAGGCAATCACACACACTCACCATAACCAGCATTTCACTTTGGGAACTCCTCATTCCCAACCCTACACTTGGACTCTTCTTTTTTTTTAACAAAAGAGTGCACAAACCATCACTACCCTGGTCCTAATAAGAGAGAGTTCCTTCTTCCTTGTTTGGGGATCTTTCATGCATAGAATCAGACAGAATTACTTTGCTTAACCCTCTTACTAATCTGACTTTTCCAGAAGGACCAAAAAGATAAAGACAAAGGTAACGGCTTCATGAAATACAGCTCTTTTCTTCTTCTGAGCCTGACAGTCACTTCCAACAGCAGATTGTCATGACAACAACCAACCTGGAGGCAGTCCAGCCCATTAATCTGCAGAGGAAGCAGTCCTCACAGCCTTGGAAAAGAACACTGCTGTTTTAAGCTTCAGAAGGAAAACAAAAAACCCCCAACAACAAAATCCAAGAAACTTTACCACCCGCATTCATCTTATTAAGCTGCCTCAAGCCTGTAGTGGAAACCACCTCAGCCCTCAGCACAGGGGCCGCAGCATTGCTGCAGCAGCAATACACACGCGTGCTAGTCCCTCACCGGCCCTTTTCTCCCCCTCCAGAGCGCTAGCAGGAGCAGGCCAGGCTGCGCTCCGAGGCTCTGAGCGGAGCAGAGCTGTGATGCAGCCCTGCAAGCAGGCCAGTTACCAGGATGACCCCTTCGGCCCTAACATATGGAGCCAAAGGAGAGAGCTCATAGGTTAGACAGAAGAATGGCACAGAAGAGATTGTCACATACCATTGGTATAAACCGTTTTGTTGGCATTGGTTTGCGTGTTTTCCCTCTTCCCCTGTGAGCTGTCAATAATATTTATCACCATGTGAAGCTCATAAGTATTTTCTCTTCCACAAAGGACTAAATCACAGTGCAGCTAGACATTAAAGTCATTCACCTTCAATTTCCCTAATTTGTTCTTCATTTGTTCCCCACTCTCTCTCTCTTCTAGTATCCTGCTTTCTATAAGCCTAAGCACATCACATCTCCCCTGCAAATACTCACCATCTCCCATTTTTCGCTTGCTCTGATCTCTCAGTAGTAACGCAGACATGAAAATAGTTAGCAGCTGATGCCCAATACACATAATTTGTTAACCTCAAGTCATTCATAAACACTTCACATTTTATGGAATACTGTGGTGTTAACTTACAGAAAACCAAACTGAGGAGAACTATATGTAGACTTCTAAGTTAAAAAGAAAAAAAATATGTCAGAGATTGTGTTCTGAGATTCTCACAAGACTCAATACACAACAATTTTCAAACAAAAATTTTCTTCCCTGTCCTCATCCTCTTCTCTAAATACAGAAACAAGGAAGGGTGGGAGTAAATTTTCACTGAAGACTTGTTCTGTAGTGAAACATGCCTTTCAGAAAGTAACTGAGCAATGAGGATCTAAAGCTTTAAGCCTACACAGATTTACTCATCTGGTAAATAGACAGACTGCTGAATTACTTCAAACTGAAGTTTTATTATTGATCCCTCTTGGTCCAATCCATCTCTCACAGAAGTCACTAAATGGATTCCCAGCAACTTCAGTCAGCACTGGATCACAGATTATAAGCGCTTCCTGCAAAAGTGCATTTTTACTAATCTGAAAAAGACTTAAAGAATCTAAAAAGATTCTGAGCACTGAGAATGAAAAGTATGTACTCACACATACACACTCTCTACTCGTTTCATTATTTGCAGAATTAGGAAACCAGAGCTCTAACGAACAGAGAGCAAGCCAACAGAATCACATTTTCTACTGACCCTGTTCCGTGTCAATTGGAGTTGGTATAATATTGCAGAATAGAATAAAAACCCTGTGCCTACCTTGAGGGCTTTCGCAGCTTTCTTCATCACTGTTGTCTTGACAGTTATTTTGACTGTCGCACACAAAGCTTTTATCAATGCAAAGGCCATTTTTACAGTGGAATCGGGCAGTAGAGCAAAGCAAGGGATTTGCTGCTGCAAAAAGAGAAAGTGAGACCTTTCATTAGAGATTCTCTTACCCAGGCAGTGAAATAGCTGTTAAGCAATCAACTACAACAGGTCACAACTCAACAGTTGGTCAGTTCACTGAATACGTGGGAGTAACTTGGCAATCAAACCAACCTTGTCTGTCTAAACAGAGAGAGCTGAAATCTCTAATTCATGCAAGGTTCATTACAATTAGCAGAGATTTAGTCCACCCACAGTTGTGATAAGCCTTCTGTTCACTTTCATGAGAGCCCCTATCATGATCACTGTTTGGTGCTCAGCATTTGCTCACACTGAAGACATATGGAGGGGAGCAGTGCCTACCATAAACACTGCCTGTTGCTTCCCACTACAACAAACTCAGTTTAGCTCAATTTTCATATTATAAGCCAACAACACTGGCTTAGAACTGCCAGGGAGTGGTTTATTTACCCCTGCTGCTGTCTTTTTCCACCTTCCTCATTTCCTCACTGTTTTGAAATGATACAAAGGCAATTTTGACATTTCTCAACTTCTCAGTGTTTGAATTTCAACTCCTTTTTAAGGGTAACATGCACATTACAGTAACACCCAGAAAATCCTTTCACATAAGGCCCGGTGTTGCACACAGAGCAAAAACAGAATAGTATTTAAGGAGATTCCTCACCCACACCAAACTCAGCAGTAAATATGCTGTAAGATGTTATGTCTAGTTTCATTTAAAGCTTCAAGCAGTACAGTTTTCCTCACTTCTCCTAGCAGATTACACCACAGCTTGAATGCATCTTCCTGTCAAGGAGGTTTCCTTGATATTCATCTTAGTTTTCTCTTTTCTAATTTCATCCCTCTACTCTTAGCTACAGCCCAGCATACATAACTACATAATCCTCCCTTCAACAGTGTTTGGACCCTTCATATACAGCATATACAGCCTTATCTTCTAACATAGCCATCACTTTGCTAAGATATGTATAATTTAGCATTTTTTAATATCTCCTCATAAATCAATCTCTCTGTCCCTTAACAATTTTTGGCACTATTCTCTGAACTCCCGCCAGTTTTTGGTAATGCGGTGACTGAAACGGAATGCAACTTTCCAATTGAAAACCTAAAAAAGCTGTCTAAATGCCTTGTCTGCTTCAAAGTGCTCCTCTGCCACAATAACAAAGGGGATTACAGTTCCCAAATACTAACCAGCTTCCTATTTTTTATTCTTTGAAGTAAGAGCTATCTTTAAAGAGTCTTAAAAAAAACAAACCATAAAACTTTAAAGTTTGCCATGCATATAACCTGCAGTATATGTAAGAAACACTCCCAATTCCTCCAGCTCCCCAAAAGCACATTTATCACAAACATGCTAAATCTCCTTTCGCCTGAAACTGCAGCATACTTGCATAGCACGTTGATTTTCCAGGTCATTTTAGGGCCTATAGTGTTGTTCCTCTACATAAGCAAAGCAGTGACTAGATACTTAGATATGCAACAAAAAATACCAAGTCCGTGCTTAAATGGCATAGAGAAACAGGGAGATCAGCAGCATGTTATCATCAGCTGTAAGGTCCCATTGGAGCTATGCACTACGAGCTCATGGGAAATTATGTCATTCATAACCAACTCCATGAGTTGGTGCATTTTCAGTTGAGACATGCCACTTGTCATTCCATCACCTCAAGAATATTCAAAGCACTTTTGTCAAACCTGGTCTTTCTAGTCCACACGTTTAAGCATAACCCAAAGTCATTTCCTTAGCCTTCAATCTTCTTTCTCTAGCTTAACTTGCTCCTCAGAGGTGCTGTCTCCCTGCCACAGTCCTCCCAGGGCCCAAACCAGACTCTCTAGGCCAACAACAGATGGCACCTTGAGAGATGTTCATGCTGTGGGGGGAAAGCACACAAACAAGAAAGGCAAGTTCTCCAAGAAGCAGACAGTGATAGATCTCCGTAAAGATTGCCCCTTTTGTTATCTTTGAAAGCTGGTGTCTGTTGTCCTCCTCCTGACCTTTAAATGTCATTAAAAGCAAAAATTCAGCACGCTTCAACAAGAGAACAGCAAGTATTTGCTGCAAGCTTCTGCCTACAGACTCATGCTTTTAGCAGCTCCTGATAATAGCAACAGAGCTGCTGGATCGAACATAACTTTTCCTTCCTGCTATGATATATCCCTGCTAGACTTACAGATACAAATGGATCTATGCAGCCACATGCAGGGGGTTTAGCCCAAGTCACGTAGTACTTCAGATGATCTGAACAGCAGCTTAAGCTAGTGCATTGGCAGGCATGTCTGATTTCCAGAACCTCCTTCTCCTTCCAAGAACCTGTTTCACTAAATAAGCCTTTATTTGCTTTTTTATTGTTTGAGAACATCTGTAAACAGAGAAGCCCAAATGTGCTGATGAACAAATAAGTCATATTCTTCAGTGACAAGAAACAGGCAAATAAAAATTAAACAATTTTTAGGCATATTTAACATTTGCCCAATTTGAGTTACATTTCAGTACAGAGAACCTGTTCAAAGCAAACATGGAACTTAAATCTTATTTCAAAGTTACAAAGGGGCTTGAAGTATCATACAGGCATTATATACAAAACAAGACTGAGCTGGACCTTAAAAAAAAAAAAAGACTGTCATTTACAGTGTGAAAAGCAGGAGGATCACCTGGGTCATAAATGACAGGAAGAATATTTGAATCAGAAACTAAAGGCTAATGAAGTAGTATTAATTTTCTTAATTAATTATTAATAATTTCTAACTAAATTCTCATTAATTTAACTTTCTAAGTAGTATTAATTAGTGCAAATAAAAAGAAGCGCAAGCAGGCTGACACTTACTGCAGTTTTCCTCATCACTGCCGTCAGGACAGTCCTCAAAGCCATTGCACCGGAAGCGGCCAATGATGCAGTGGATTCCGCTAGCGCAAGGGAAGAATGTGGCACCACATTTGGATTTAGCTTTTGCTGGGAAAAGATATAGACAGAAAAAGGCAAACATGAGGGAAACCATTTACAAAGGTTAGAGATACTTTTGTAGCAGTACAGGTTAGGGTCCTCTAGGCAGCACTGGTGACATCAATGTTTGGTGCCTTCCAAGCTCCCTAAGGCCGGCTTTCAACTGCTTTAAGTTTTTTTTGTGAGATTTCACTTGCTTGGGCTGAATTTTTTCCAATTTGTGCAATTTCAAGAATGATTCAAACATCCAATCTTAAAACAAGTCACATGACCTCTCAAAACAAATTTAAATTGCTCAACACTTTGGAGCACAAGCTTGTAAATTTGGCAAGCAGGTACTCCTAACTGTCCCTTAAAGACCCATGTGAATTTGACCAACTTGGAAGCGTTGCAGGGAAAATATTAAAATAGAGGGACACGCTTCACAGAAAACAAGAGCAACTATCTCCTCTTTTCATGGAAGTCTGTTGTAAATGTCAGTGCCTTAGGCTAGGCATAAGTCCAGGAGACAGACATCTAAGCAGGTCCTCAGGCGGCTGACAACCCTCAGAGGCAAAGGTCTAGCTGGACTAGTCGTAGCCCCCCCAACCTGTCATGCTGAGTCCACAAACACTAAATAGCAGCAAAAGTCTAGATTTTGAACACCACAACAAAGCTTCTCTTGCTTGGTCAGAGAAGCCAAACAGCGAAGAGCCCAAGGTAGACAGAGATAATGAACAGTTAATGAACAGGTAATGAACCAGTTCAGAGAATTTGGGATCTGGAGGCAAACTTGGGCAAAGACAGGTATATGAAGAGTAAGGAAACATCTGAAGAAGGAAAGGAGGAATACAGAGATATCAAGTGAATTAGTGTCTTTGTGAGAATAAGAAACACAAGAGACCTTCATTAAAGTATTTTTCAGGCTGCAAAAATCGAACTCAAAAAAGAAAATGCTATAATTAGCACTGCCTTTGTTCAGCACAATTTATATAAAATTGGGTCCAAAAGGAACATGAGTCATACAAGTTGCATCTCTTGCTGTACTTGTCTCCATCATACATTATACAGCTCTTCAGGACAGACAATACATCTATTTCATAGTACCAGCACAGATATTCATATAACCCTAAATACTAACAGTAGCATCAGAATGTGTTTAACAAATGATTACAGAATCTCATTATGATCTCAAGTACTTCATATTTTTTTATTTCACTGCACAGGAACTAACTCTATATGGCAAGAAGAGAACACTGCCCTCAGCTAGAGTGATGCAGATGCTTCCACCACGATGCTCAAGACAAGCACCAGTTAAGTCTTATGGTTATCAGCAGCCTAGAACAAAGCAACTCCCAAAGTAAAAATCAATTTAAGGAGTCATGTGGTTAGATTTTTTTTTTTCTCCCTTTTGCTTTTTCAAATTAGCACATGACACAATGGACCACATCACAGGATGCTGAACTCTTCAGAAAGTCCACTCTGAAGCAAAGCCAGTCACTGTGGGAAGAGCG